TTTGTAGCCGGCGACTGGGCTTATTAGCCGGCGGATTTCGCTATGTAAAAATACGTTCCAAGCTGATTTGGGCTTAATACGCGGCTGGGCCTATTAACCGTGGGCTTAATAACTGGGCTTAATACGCGGCTGGGCTTATTAACCGTGGGCTTAATAACCGGCGACCTACTCTAATAGCTAAAAGCTCGGACACATGTTTTGCCGATATCCTGCCGCTGCGTGGCACAGCTATGACGGGTTCGGGTCTTATTTTAAAGATTTTGATATAAGCGTCGAACACAATCTACATTTGTGTATAAGGGTTTTAGTAAATACCAAATTGCCAAGCCTACTTGATTCTGGGGCAGGTTTCTCCCTTATTAGACAGGAGACGCCGTGTAAACTCCAAGCTAGAGTTAGATATGGTAGCAAGTCTACAGTTAGCCTGAAAACTGGGGCCATTATTTAATGACACTTCGTAACCCTTAAGTTTATTATCTGCCCTGATCTATAGCTTGGGAGTATATATTAGGGGCCGATTCCCTGCACGCGTTTACGTGCGCGTTAGGTTTTAACGATAACAAGCTCCGTTTCTGTGGCACTGAAGCGCCTTTTAGTAAAAAGCTGCGCAACAGAGAGCTGGAGGTTAACTAACTCAAGTTAGAGGAATGTGTCAACAGATTTGTCGCAGCCAGGGTAGAGAGTTCGGTAGATCCGGCGCAAAGCCATGTCGTAGTGAATCAGCACTCACACCAAACAGTTATCGATTTTTTGTACAAGTTTCCATTTTAACTGTCTTATACGGCAAAACTCCTGTGCACGCACTACCTGTATCTCCTACTGCGCTGTGATTATGCCTCTGATGATGAATCCACGAAGGATCTTGAAACGTCAGGCGAATAAAACTATTGTCCCAGCGATCAAGTCGGCTTCTGCTCAATTACTTCCTGTGACTCGCATGTCCGCTTGTATTGGCTATGACTTAAAACTAAATCTCGACACCTTCATGCCACCCGCTTCAGGTGGGTAAAGGTCGAGAGTGTGGTAGATGCTACGCACGTCTACAGTCGCTTACAACCAACCCCTGCGCAAGTCACCATCTACGTACCAACCCGTTTGGAGCATAGCATATCAACACAATCTATTGTCGATCTATAATTAGTACTGTGCTCCGGGCTTTAAACACAGAACAAAATTTACTTGGAATAGCAGGAATCCAGATTGGAAAGCCTAGATGAGATCAAGGGGGCGTGAGCCTCGGTGTCAACTTCAATCGGCGTTGGTACTATTATCATTTAGTTGGCTGTCACTATCCTCCTGGGTCAATTGTGAGCTGTGACCAGGTAGCATACGATGTGGTGTGTGTGACAGGGAGTTCAGTCTGTGATGACGGGAGAAGATAGAGTGCGGCAGATGCGGCGTAAAGTCTACTATCAATTAAAACTAAATCATGCGCAGTGCTGTGGCCTGCAAAGAAGAAGCGGCTTACGTCCAATCCCCATTAACTTTCTAGACTCTGTTTTAACACAGGCTGCAAGTGGCTGAGGGTAGGGCTTGTGGCAGATCCAGTGCAAAAGTCTACTATCCCTTAAAACTAAATCACGAGCGGTGTTTCGGCCTGCGTTGAAGAAAGCGGCAAACGACCGCCCCCCATCATTGTCGGTCTTCTTGACACCGGCTAGGTGGGCAGTTCCGGCGCAAAGTCTACTACGGTAGTCGCCGGTTATTAAGCCCACGGTTAATAGGCCCAGCCGCGTATTCACAGTAGTCGCCGGTTATTAAGCCCACGGTTAATAGGCCCAGCCGCCTATTACCCAAATCAGCTTGGGACGGAAATTTTACATAGCAAAATCTGCCGGCTACAAAGCCCAGTTTGTCAACAGGATAGAGTGAGATTCTCATCTCTCTGCGATTTCTCGTGCCTGGACAAGGACATCAAAGAGCACTTGCGAGTGAAGTTTCCTCCGAAACAACTGGTACTAGACCGCTTTTTTTAAACGTGTCGCAAATAATTTTTTTGATTTTATTATTACGTAAAATACAGACAAACAGCATTATTTTCTTGTACATAAC